ACACACACATATATATATATATATATATATATATTCCCTCTCAACTCCACGGAAAACTCTTCATTGCGTTTCACTTGCCCTGTGTTCCATTGCAGGATGGTATGTTTAATCCTCCGCCCTCCCCCCGCCTCCCACACACACAGACACACAGAGGTCGGGGAAAGTTACTGCTGGAAGGCACCACCATCAAATAAACTGATATCCATAAAAACAAGCCACGCTTCTCCTTCGCTCACACCGCTACAATAAAAGGAGAGTGAGCCAGCATTTGGAACAAAACCGCAGAGCGAACAAGGGCAGGCGCAGGCCAAAAAAGAAACAAACAAAAAACAACAAAAAATAATCGAGCTTGAGCGTATTCTCCATTTTCGCACGGAAGGCACACACACAATAAAGACAAGAATCGTTGGCTACGTGCACCCTCAGAGGCAGTAGAAAGCAGGAAAAGACCACAAAGCACTACGCGCGGAAGAAAAAAAAATATACCTGTGTAGGTGAGACAAATAATAAGCAAGTAACCAAAAAAAAAAATGCGTTACACAACCCTTTTTCTTTTTAAATTTGCAATGATTGACTGCCAGTTGCATCTTTTCTACGGGCTCTGAACGCAGGAATTGCTCCGTGAGGTGGGGTGGTGGGACGGAGAGCGCTCCCCCCGAGGGGTACGGTGCACACGCACATGCAGTTTTCTCTCCGTGAAGAAAGACCGTCGGTTGTCCCACGTTAAAATAAGTTCCCCATGACAACCAAAGACAAAATGGTCCGCCCCCTCCTTTACGGTGGACGGTGGCTTCAGCACTTCCGTGCGGCCTTCTTCCGTGCACTCAATGAATACAGCACTGAACTTGACTCCTCCGCGCTTCACGGCAAACTCCCACGTGATGTCTTCGAACGACATCATGTCATACGAAAGAATGTACTTTTCACGAGGTGGCACAACAACATAGTGAACGTCATCATTCTGCAGAGTGTTAAGACTCTCAGATACTGTATCTCCCAGTACCTCTCCAAGCACCTCATTGCGGTCCTCACTCGTCGCACCGCATGTCGATGAGCTTGGACAACCGTGTTGTGAGACAATGCTCTCTGCACTAAGCGTATTTCTATTCAGCGGAACGCAGCCCAATATACAGTTACAAGCGCCGCCTAGAAAAACTGGCAATTTGTCCACGTCTATCACTTCTCTCAACACAGCAGGTGTCTTCCTCTCGCTGACGCACATTATCTTTTTCCGTAGACCATGCTTGCTTGTGCCAAAGAAGCTAAATGCCCAGTGACTGAACGCCACGCCACCAGGACAGTTCACTAACAGGAGCCGCTCTAGGAGTTCCGGGTAGTACTTATGATCCAGCTTGATCATCTCTCGGACGATGCGTACGAAGGGGCTCTGGACAAAATCTTGAAAGCACATTCCCATACAATCAATGACAACAGTTGCCGTTGTAATACATTTCTTCAACCCATTTGTCTCCACACCTCCTCGCGACGGTCTAACAATGTTGCAATACTCCACGACCCTTCCAAGCATCTCGTTGCCGTATAAATGAAAGAGGGCCGCAAGGTTTTCGGGGCGCTGGCGAACTGGTGTTATTTTCCACAGCGCCTGGTAAAGCTTCTTTGCCTTTACATGCTCCAGTCGACCGTACATAACAGGATGGCCTTCCTTGTCCCAATAGTGAATACTACTTGCGTAGAAACTGTTGATGAGGTCGAAGATTGGCCGCAGAAATCGATGGTTGTTCAGGTACCCACCGGAGTTCAGCATATTCGTGCAATTTTCGTCGCATGTCTGAAAGTCGGCATTCATCACTGGTAAGTGTAACGTGGTGCATAAATGTTCTTCATTAAACCCACGCAGCGGAATGAGTGAGGGGAAGAGTAATAGAGAATCCAGCTTATGAGCCTTGCGGAATTCATTTGTCTCCAGGATCATCTTTATAGCATTGTCGACGTCGAATCGGTTCGCCTTGAGATACCTATAGGCAAGAATGCGACGCGCCTCGGCATCAACACAGCGGTGAAACTGGGGGAACTCTTCAAAAGACGGCTGCTCGCCTTTCTCCTTTGCTGTATTGCCCGATGGGCCGTTCTGCGTTTGGTGATTGCCACGGCTACAGTCAGCACCACCACTGCCTTGCCTGTGGCATGCGAGGCGGCGGAGAACCTCGGCGGTCAATGTGATGCTCTCCGGCGTGCCGCTCAGGCTCTTCACATCCTCATTGTCATCAAATCTCACGGTTTCTTGCATTTCACTGGCACAAGCAAGCAATCCTTCACCCTATGTAGAGGCAGAACAGCACTGGTTGTTGGCTGTTCTACAGTGAGGCAAAATAGGCCTAATCCACAAAGGGGCCCAATCTACAGGCGTGGAAAGTTTGCAACCACAAATGATACACCGCCTTTGATCGTGTACCACTTGATGAACAGTACCACTGCGCGCAAGGTATAAGGAAGAGAGAGAAAGAGGGAGAACCGAAGGCCAGCCATAATCCAAAAACCCGATGAAGTCATCCACATTAAGGCCAACCATCAGGGAAGGAAAATCTAGAAAAAACGAACAACAAGTTTTCAAGGTGATGCAGATGAATCCGAGACAGCTTCACCCTATTTACACCGGCTCCCCTACCTCATAGTTGCGGTGGCACGATCAGACGCTTTTTTTTGTTTTGACCTCCTTCTTCTTTTGTCTTCCTCTTGTACAACAGAGTTCTCATAGCCTTCAAGCAACTAAATCACTTATGCACTGGGTCTGTTAGCCTCCGCAAACAGGTACAGGCTGAATAGGATGAATCATACTTGATAACACACGCAAAAAAAAAAGAGCTTCAACGCACTCTTTTCCCCTGTTTCACTTATGTTTGTCACAAAGAGGAACTGCATTGGTCTCTTGTTATTCATCATCTACTTTACACTACCGGAGATACTGATGATACCTGCAGAGGAGCGTGAATGTTCACAGTTTCATTACAGCTACTTAAGCCGACGCACGCCAAGCCCCCCACCTAAGTGCTCAAAAGAATTAATTATACTTGTTTTTTTTTTTTTTTT